GGACGAGCCTCGACGCGAGGAAATTCCTATTAACGTTGCGGTCTCGCACCCGCTTGAAGGTAAATACGGCATAGCAGAGCAGGAGATAAGGGAGCAGGAACGATGGCCGAAGCATCGCTCTTCCGAAGAGGAGGATATACAGCGGTTGATCGAGCAACGCAGTCAGTATCAATCGATGAGGCAAGAGGATACGCTGCAACGACAGCACGATGAACAGCTGATCAGGAAGCAGGAGGAGGAGCTAAGGAGACAGGAGATGCAGGAAGAGTTCGAGAGGAGGCAGAAAGAACTGCAGAAGAAGAAGAAGCAGGAGGAGGAGTTGAAAAAGCAAAAAGAGCAGGAGAAGCTGAAGAAGCAGCAGGAACAGGAGGAGCCGAAGAAGGAGGGAAAGCAGGAACAGAAGGGATTGAAGAGAGAACAGGAAGAAGAGTTGAAGAAGACAGTAAAAGAAGTCGAGGATGTGACGAAGAAGCAAAAAGAGGAAGAGATTAATCGACAGAGTCTAGAAGAAAAGAAGCAGGAGGAAGGATTGAAGAAGCAGGAAGAAGAATTGAAGAAGCAGGAGGAAGAATTGAAGAAGCAGGAGGAAGAATTGAAGAAGCAGGAAGAAGAATTGAAGAAGCAGGAGGAATTTAAAAAGGAGGAGGCTTCGAAGGAAGGAAAACGAGAAGCAGATTTGGAGAAGAAGCAAGAAGAGGAGAAGGAGAAGAAGGAACAGCTGCTGGAAGTTCAGAAAGAAGATGAAGAGAAGCAGAAACATCGAGAGGATAAACAAGAATTACGACAACCGGAAGAATCGCAGAGCGAAGGAAAGATTGAAGAAGAAAAAGAATCAAAGGAACCAAGCCTATCGAATCAGGAAAAATCACAGCAACAATTGGAAGAAGAGGAAAGAATAAGAAGGGAGCAGGAATTACTAAAGCAGCAGAAGGAAAAGGAACAACGAAGAATTCGCGAGGATAGAAAACTGCAACTACAGTTGCAGGAACTGAAAACTCAATGGGCATCGGAGGAATTAACGATATACAAGCAGGAAGAAGCCTTGCAACGACAGATAGAGAATCTGAGATACGAGGAGCAATGGGAGAGTCGACAATTCCAGCAGATGCAGTTGTATTTGGAAGGTCGGAAGCCTGAGGCGGAAAAGAAACCAGAAAGGCGGCAAACAACGGAACGAAAGAAGGCGGAAAAGAGGAAAGACGAAAGAGTAGAGATTAGGGTACACGGGGCGGAATCCCCTAAACAGGAAGACCCTGCCGTGACTGGTTTCTACATAAAGTTAGTGGTGAGGCAGGAAGGCAGGGCGAATTTGGTTTGGTTGTTCAAAACGCACAAATTTTAAATGGTTCTCGTTTCTCGTTATCCTCTACTCTGGTTTTATACACTGTTGACATTTTATATAATAATTAACAAATTAATTTTCTCGCTGGAAGAGAATCGTTTCAGAGTATGACTATTCCTATTGTTTGAGTTGTCTCGCCAGAAATTTCTATATGACGAATCGTTGTGTTTTGCGAGGAACATTCTTAGTACATTAATGTTTTTTATCGTTGGAACCGTATACAGGTATTTATGATAAACGCGGAGACGTTCACTCATGGTGGTTGTTAATAAAACCGAATCTCCATCTACAGTCAGTCAGTAAAAAATCCACCTCTGTAAATGATTGTAGACGAGGTACGTGCTCATTAAAGTGATTTAATAGGTCATACTATACTACTACGATAATCGTACGATTATTTTAAGGATACTCTTAATTTGCGTAGTCTGTGGGTTGTAATTGAACGCGAAGAGTTATTTCGGTAACACACTGCTCAAGATGATTAGAAAATTGCGTACACGAATCTATTTATTCCTAACGAAATTTGATTATTTTCCATGCTAAGTACACGGTATCCTTTTACATTTTCAACGATTGATTTATTCGAAAAAATTATTCAAGGAACCGGTAATTCTCCGATTGCTTCGAGCAGTATATCAGCATCAAAACGCAAAATGTTATCGATACTGATTTTGAGAGTGTTATTTTACAACTGACATCTTAACGACTACTTATATACGATAATTTACACGCGTTGCCTGCCTGTGAATTCCCAACCATTTCTTCGATCTAATCATTATCAATTATATGGTGTCACGCGACGACGGAGAACACGACTTTCGTCGACATCAATCAATTCTCGCTTTCCCATTAAACCACTACTTCATGATACTATACTTATTGCTCCGTCGACTTTTCTACTATTCTCGTATTATTATTATGGCGATCTACTATCGCAGATCGAAAAGGTCTACCCGATTTTTTACCAAGCATCTCGAACATTCATTCGATCACTGCACGAAGAAGAGGAAGTAGAAGATCTGTACCGTTTATTATGAAAGAGATTTTAACGTTCGTACGAAATGAAAAATAAAGTATGCACAGTACTAGTATGAGCAGCTAATGAGAAAATTAAGAAGTATCTATGTAGACGTTATTGTTGAACTCTTTTACAAGGAAAAGACTACAAATTATATACATATACATATATATATAAACACAAGAGAATATATATACACGATATCTATATTTGACACTATATTAAAAAAAAAAAAAGAAAAACAATTGATATCGCTTATGGGCGAGGTGTTCGAGAGCTGTGGTCGACGACTTGACAATGATAAATCATTTCATAAATTGTTACTAGAATCTTACAATTAGTTCTATGTTTCGGACTTTTAAAATGAATGTTTGAAATGTGAAAATGAACGTTTCTAAAAATGAATCTTGACAATGATGTACCTTCGAACGAAAATCGACGTTGTTTCGATGAAAATTGTCGAATTTTATTTGCCACGATCTCTTATTTTTCTACTTCAACATTTTCATACGACTTACTTACTTACTGTACCCTGAATAATATAATTTCGCTCGCATGGAAATGTAATTCTGCTGTTACGTTACAGCCGCTTTTTATCACGATTACGATTGACAATGATAAAAGTGCAGTACGGTTAATATACAACAATTTTACACGGGTGTGAAGCTGTATAATCGTGCTGCTGACTCGCATCCACTTGCGTGCTTGCAACGAAAAATTGTTTATGAAACTGTGAATACACAAAGTAGTAGTAAGTAATGTTTAACGTGCAACAGGAGGAAAAGTGTTTTCGACGGTAATTTCGAATCGTTCAATTCGGCTAAATATTTATAACGCGCTTTTAATCTCGAAAGCATTGCTGATTTAATATTTTCTATTCCATTGCCACGCTATCATAACTTTTTATATTTTATACAACAATCAGTGATTGTGCTTTTCTTCGGTTCTCGAAATTCTTTATAATTTCGATTATAGAAAGTAGTAATAAGAAATACGATAAAATAACAAATTTCCAATTGAATTTGCCAAAAATTTGTCAGAGCAAACAAATAGCGCTACGATAAAGAGGATTATTCGATTTCTTGCTGTCAACATTCTTCTTCCTAACTGCCGCACCTAAGCTAATTGTTTAAGCAGCGGAGACGAAGCGGACTATCATCTATTAAACGTTGTTGATCGATGTAATACTCAGCATTGGTACAAAGCAGAACGACGGATCGCTTGATTCGCCAAACGCTAAACCCTTCGTTCATGCAGACGGAAAATGAAACTATTTAAATCTCGACGTAAGTTGATTTATATCGTATAAAAATTTACGCCGAGTTAGTTGCTACCAACTCGTGAAACGATGCGCAATTTGTTCGTATATTGAATCAAGCAAACAAACGGTGTACCTATGTAAATTGTATAATATTGTGATTACCATTCGTATTCTCTATATTATCGCGAAATTTCTTCGAATAAGTAATTTATTAATTATCGTATCATTTTCCAAGAGTTTCTCAGAATTGAAACGTTCTATCACATGTTAATTTATCGCGAATTAATATCATCCAAGATTCCTTCATCTTACTCTTTGTGTATTTGAACAGTGGCAAACGAATCGTTCGATACTTCGACAATTCTTTGTTATTTAGATTTATAACGACAGTATTAAAATACCTCGTATCGATGATACAAGATCATTCGAAGAGGATTTTGACGATACTCTCACACTGTATGTATCGTGTACAGTTTACTGGAACGATTTGGCACGAGCGCGATGATCATGCTTAAAATCATCACTGAAAAGATACGAAGCAAAACGAGGATCTTGTGTTAACAATAATAAAAGATCTAATTGTTGATCTGTGTGAAAACTTCACGCAATTTCCTGCAACCACTAGAACGCAACGATCGAAGACGAATTTTAAGTTTAGTCATCGAAGAGGAAGTCTACTACTAAAAATATAATGATTTCAAGAAACTTGAAACCTCGCAAGTATTACCTTTTCGTTTAATACTTCAAACTACTTGGAATCGAAGAACAACATGGCTGAAGCATCGTTGTGATCATGAGCTTTCCACGAATCTTTTTCATAATCGTGTCAGACAGTCGTGTATCGTAATATCGCATAATTATTAGACAAATCTACAGAAATAAGGAGAAGGAAAATACTGCATCGATTTCGTCGTTCTCCTTTCGTACAGCGTTGACAATACTTTAATCGTAAAAAACATATGTTCCCTATCTCAGGCTAAACGTAAAATGATAAAAGTACATATATAGAATTATAATAAAATAATAGAAAATCGTAATCTATAAGTGTACTACTGCTTTGCCCAAAAAGGTTGTGATTCACTGGGTTTTGTTTCACTTAGGAAACATTTTCACGAGTAAGTAACATTTTCTCCATTCACAGACTTCGAATTAACTAAATATTAGTTATTTTCTTTGTATCGATACGATTACTACATCATTCTAAATTTTTTAATCCTCCACTCAAATTATTCTGTACATTCTGAAATAGTTTATATACACTTCGTTCGAGACTGATTTCACGATTAACTTCTCCCCAATTTACATCGTTTATTCATTTTCCTACGAAAAACTTGTCTTTATCTCAGACGATGAAATTGATTTTTCAACAGAAAGTATTCTACGAATTATCAAACACACTTTGTACAAATCACAAAAATGACAAACACACTGAAACAACAGAAAAGATCGACAAACGTATAAAATATTGTTGTTTATTCGACACGATGAAATCTTATTTCTGCCAATAGCTGTAAGAAGAAAACTGTTCGATAGAACTGTACAAAGCTCAGTGGTATTTCAATGATGAACAGGTGTGGAGGAAATTGCACGTTGTCGATGATAATCGCATAAAAAAGGAGAACAACGGAACCGGGCATCAAACCGTGAAGCTAAATCGCAGCCGTCACTGTCGGAGAATTGTATTTTATTATCGTCACGTTGTACGCGGCTCAGTTGCATAAGTGTCAAGAGTATATTTATGAATGTGGTGTAGTCTACTTAATCTGTGTATCGTTGTCTGTCCGTGCGCATCGTTACTTCTGCTGTTTTGTACGTAAGGTGTGCGTAAAAAAATAACAAAAAATTAATTAATAAACAATGATATGTCGTTGAGTAGCCTAAGGGCGTTAACTACCCGTTACAGTGTTACCATCGATCCCACCGAGATTCACTCGATCCGATCGAGACAGCTATCTTCTCAATTTTTGTTTCCATCGTTCCCTTCAAAATTTTAATCCAAATAATCCATTATTTTTTGACGTGCGAGGAAGATCTGAATTTTTCTACAGGGTAGATTATAATTACATTTATGACAAATTTCAAGCAACTTTTGTCGAATTTTCTTTCCATTCTTACAACTTTCTGCTACATTCTTGTTATAAGCGAAGAAACGTTGCGATTCGATCGATGAGTTTAACGGTGATCGGTGCAATTCTATCTAAAGTTCGATCTCTATCATGTTGTGATATTCTGTAGCCAAATGAGTTGAAATAAAGGGAGAAGAGCGTGATGTCAAGGAATAACGAAGCAAGACATTTTTATCCCTTCCTGATGTACTAAATCCATTGAAATTTCTCTTTTTTTCTCTTTTTTTTACCGATAAAAACCTTTCTACTTTCGATGATCGCGTATCAAGTGTAACAAAATTATATTGGATCAAAAAAGCTCGCGATACATGAACCGTCACGAGCAGATATTTACAACCTTGATCGTTCGGAAGTTTAATAAACGATAGAAGGTTAAAGATCAACGAGAATCATCGCGGCACATCAACTTGAAAACCTTCTTGAAAACCTTCTTGAAAATTAACGTTGCTCGTTACGGGCGACAGATGGTAAGCGTACCAGGAATAATTATAATTTTCGACATCCTGATGATTGTGACGCAAGGCTCGAGCGAAATTTGAACGATCCATCGTGCCATACGTTATTGAGCGTTGTATCGACGTTAATGATCGATTTAAAGAGCCTGGCTGTGATAATCATCCACTGAGCGAATCTATACGATTAAAAATAAACCTAAGTGAAGAGGCATGACTAGGAAGATAAGTGAAGCAGTAAAATGTGTTATTAGTATCGTAAAGACGTGTCTTTCTGTTAGAGGTAGCTTCGCTGGTTGCAAGTTGAGAAGAGCAATTTTACAAGTAAATCGAATGCGAGCTATTTCCTAGCTGAATTTATGCGACAGTGAGACTGATTGCAAATACTATAGCGCTGTAATAGTAGTAGAATAAACGTGAAATATTGTCGAAGTAATGGTTAACTGTGTAGTGATAGACTTTCCAGTATATGTGTCACTAATTGTAAATTGCAAATATAAGAGATAATGCACATATCTCTGAATACCAAGGACAAGGAAATGGGATTACTCAAGTGCAACAAAATTACCTAGTGCAAAAATTTGAGTGACCGCTTAATTGTAATTACTTGATAACATAATCTCGTATGTTTGACTTATAGTATTGCAACTTATGCAATAACGTGCTTGATACACCGTTGATTACGTTCTACTGTTACTATACGATGTAACTAACAAAATGATTGAAATTAAATTAGAAAATTCAATTTATCATTAGAAATACTCATTCATCACCTACTTGTCGAAATATTTTTTACTCGTAACAATACTATCTGTTATTTGTTGTACCTTATTATCTGTTTTACTTGAAAATGTATCGTATTCTGGTACAATATATGCACACATTTAATAATCTTTATGTAACGATCAATAAACCAACCTGTTGGGCTACTAGTATGTTATCGCAATGATAAGTACTTCGCTCTCAAAGTACATTAATCAGATATCGTTAAAACATCACGTTCCAACCTTTTTCCCAAAATATTACAGTTTTTATCTTGATTAAATAAAATATATACAGTGTAACAAATAAACTTAACTGGCCGTAATAGTTAGGATCCTCTCGTACAAAATATTTACAGTGTAGTCAAATTTTAATTATCTAAAATGTCTTATCCTAGATGATTTTGCAAAGTGAAAGCCACTATAAACATTTCCATAATTTATAGATAACAATGAAGAGAATTGTTATTGTTTAAATGATACAAACATCAAGATAAATGTAACGATTCACTGACTAATTATCTTAATGTATTGATGTCAGTTACGATAAATAGCAACATACTTTTGCTTTTACTTTCCGATGTAACTTAATTACTTGATTTTATAATATTGATAATATCGAACCGACAAACAGATTTGCCTGGAACGGGATAAATAGATTGCCGAATAACTGCATCTATTCAACTTGTTTAACATACTTCAGCATCCAAAATGGACTCTAGCCTTTTACTTTAATCATCTGGAAGGCCGTAAAATTGATTGAGTCATCAGGCCGAGCAATGATCATTAAGCTTACTGATAAGCGCGATAATGTGTTCGCATTTCAAAGTAGAAATATGCAAATGAGACAGAAAAGCTGGAGGGAGTTGCACAGATGACAAACTGGCCCTCGATAGAACGTAAAAATTATCTTTAAAATATTTCGCAACATTTTTTGAATTCGACAAAGATATATTTGCAAGTTTCACACTTCCTATTCCTCTCTTCATTTCTCAATTCTTGCATTCTCTACTCCATATCAAATAGACAACAACAATCCATCCTACAACTAACATTCTTCAATCCACATTCCATTCTTCATATCCGTCATTCATTATCGTGTGATTGACATTCCCTTTTCCACATCCTGATTCAGTAATCCCACCTAAACAAATAAATAAGGAGATGTGGGAAATACAACAACAATCCATCCCACAACTAACATTGTTCAATCCACATTCCATTCTTCATATTCGTCATTCATTATCGTGTGATTGACATTCCCTTTTCCACATCCTGATTCAGTAATCCCACCCAAACAAATAAATAAGGAGATGTAGGAAATACAACAACAATCCATCCTACAACTAACATTCTTCAATCCACATTCCATTCTTCATATTCGTCATTCATTATCGTGTGATTGACATTCCCTCTTCCACATCCTGGTTCAGTAATCCCACCTAAACAAATAAATAAGGAGATGTGGGAAATATGTATAAGAGGTGAATATTTACACGATTGTAAAACAATAGATAGTAAAAGAAATTCTAAAAATCACTTAAGTTTACATGGTGACCCAACCGAAATGAGATGAATTTAAGTATAAGTACAAGACGAGTATAAGATAAAAATAAGGTCAGTGTAAGATAAGGTAAAAATAAGGTCAGTACAAGTATAAGGATAGTACAAGATAAGTAAAATTTCCAATTTCATATTCGGAGAATATGATGTACGAAGAGGTGGCACGCGGAAGCATCACTTTCTCCGAAAATTGTATGTTGATTTTTAACATTTCTAATGTTTAACTACTCGCCTTATACATCTGCAATGTACAATGCTAATTCTTTCACAATGAATTTTTTATACAATGTGAGATCCGTGGGTCTAATATGCAAATTATCCGGGCATTAGATATGAAAAATGAAGTAGGAGTTACGATATACGTGGGTAATGGTATGTGGGAAGCGAGAACCGAGTTATAGTCCGTATAGGATGGAATAGAGTAGAACTAGATTGAGACGAGATAGACTGATAAATAACAGCATTCAGACGTAATTCCAAATACAATTATACATACGACGATTTAAATTTCCTACCTTCACGTTTCATTTTTCCACAGCATTATCGCCGCATTATATAGCGAGGAGAAAGATTGGCGGATCGAAAGAAGTGGGGACAAAGAAGACCATGGTCGAAGACTGATGATGTTTGGCATTAAAACGAGCGTGCGGCGCAGCCGTGCATCGACAGCGCGGCTGAACTCGTCTGGTAGCATTAATAAATGAGGGACATCAGCTTTTAATTACGCGCCTCGCTCGTAATTGTAACCCGCAGCGAAATCGTACGCTTCCAGCCCGCTACTTTATAAGCTTCACGACGATATACGCGGCACGACCATTGATAACAACCAGCATCGCTGCCTGTTGCTGCTCGGTGCGTTGCCTGATCCTTTGCTGAATTAACGGTCGCTCTTAATTATGCTCGACCAAACGTGAAGTCAGCCTACTCGCGTTCTTCCCTCGGTCATTCGAAAATCTTTCAGGATACCAGGTCGACGATTAAGAATTTTATGGCAGATTCAATCCTTGACAACGGGAATCTTCTAGTAGGTTGAAAATAACTTAACGATGATGTTTTGACACACGAGTGATGTATATGTTACAGGAACAACGTTAAAAATATTTGAGAATTAAATACCTCGTTTGTTTCTTGTTACAACTGAGCGAACGATGCTTCGTGAATGGTGTTTCATTACGATAATCGAGCTCTAGGTGTTTCAAGCATATATTTTTAGTAGCCTTTGAACTTGTGATTAATTATGCATTAATTATTCGCGCAAGTCACGTACTTCTATAAATTATTATTCATTTGTTATAGCTTTCATTCACGTTTGTCATGAGTCAAGATACCTATTCGTGATAAATATTGCAAATTTATTAAACAGTGTCGTATAGAGCAATATTTCTGTAACAAATGTTTAGCAAATGGAAATACTTAGGGTATATACACGATCGAACTATCATTTTTATCAAACAGAATGGTGATTCAGAAATAAATATCACGTTTCATGATACTCGGGGAAATATATCATTGAAAAGAAACAACAGTTTAATAAAAAATGATACATTGTTTCTTCCAAGGTGTTTTTCACATTTATAGACGTATCTTATCATTCGTAACCATAATGCACTCAGATACCTACATTTAGCTTTTCTTCCAATAATATTACGATACTTGAATACCGATTTTTCAACGAAATCGAGAACTAGGAAACGATAGTTGTATTTAAAACCTTTTGCTTGTGACAGTGACAATATTTTAATCGATTCTATGATTAAATAACACTAATTGTAAATGAATTCTTATTTAGTCTAAACAAATTTCCAGCATCGCACTTTTTCTTTATATCGTGTTAAATTAAAATCGAAGAAAATTTATCCTAAACCGAATGAAATCACAACATTAAAGGCTCCACTGTTCTGTTTGCTTTAACAGCTCTGTTTGTTTCATTGTCACGGCGATAAGAAGATAAGTACCGTGTATGATTTCGTGGGATAGACAATAGACCTGAGTCGTACCGATAAAACGTAGTTCGTGGCAGAGGGGTGTAGACCTTTGGATACAGAAAGCGATTATGTAAGCGACGATAGGTTATATATTAAGAAGCAGAGCATTTTGCAACACAAACTGACCACGATGTTGGCGACTGCGACGTTTTTAGCTGTACTTGTATTGGCAGCGAGTGGAGCCACGAACAAAGACCCCCACTTTGTTCCTGGCCACGATACCATCGTGCATCTTTTCGAATGGAAATGGAACGACATTGCAGAGGAATGCGAAAGATTTCTTGGGCCAATGGGATACGGTGGAGTGCAGGTATGAAATAAAATAATTTCCCGATACAAATACTTATCCGCGATAAAGCCAAGTGTTTTGAAAATTGACATACATTTGGTTCGTTTGACGTATAAAAATTTCTTGAATGTTTGTTATCGATTAAGTTATACGAATAAAGAAAAATGAATTATTTTCAGTTAAGTCTCTAATAGAAAATTCGGGTGGTTTTAGAATCTCTTCTCACAGGTGTAAATAACAATAAAGCCCTGTATCAGCGATATCTTCAGCCGCATTATTGTTGGATTAATTTATCATTTATGATTATTATCGATCAAGTGCTTAATTAGTTTCACACACAAAATAATATCGGAGAAATGATATCTATAAGAGGGAAGCAAACATAACTCTTTTATCTGAAACCTGATTTTCACGCGTCATAATCACAACATAGTACTAGAATACAAGATAATTATCCCTTTCTACTAATCCTATTTCACAAGTTAGTAATTTATTCGAAATAAAAATTTCTTCTAAATTCATTAAATATGTACATCACTGGTTAAACTCTTTTTTTACTCGTGAATCTTCCTATTTTTTTTTCTTTTTTTTTTTACAATGTATCGAATGCATAGAATTCATTATCAACGAGATTCAATCACTGCAGGTATCACCATTACAAGAGAATCTGGTGATCGCTAACAGGCCATGGTGGGAACGTTACCAACCAATTTCCTACTTGTGGACTACGCGATCCGGCACGAAAGAAGAATTTATCAATATGGTTGCAAGATGCAACAATGCTGGTGTCCGAATTTACGTAGACGCTATCTTGAATCACATGTCCGGCAATTTGAACAATGCTCATGGCACTGGAATCTCCAGAGCAGACACGTACCACTACGAATATTATCAAGTGCCTTACCACGCTCAACATTTCCATAAACCTTGTTCGGTTAACAACTACAACGATCCACAGAACGTGCGAAATTGCGAACTGACTGGTCTTCATGATTTGGATCAGAGTCAAGAATACGTCAGATCGAAGCTGGTGAATTTCTTGAATGAAGCTGTCGACGCTGGTGTTGCTGGCTTCCGGTTTGTATAATATTTCAGGATAGATTGTTTTTTTCAGCAAAAATATTCGTCATTTCGACAAATCTTAAGAGCCGAAATATATTACAATATAGATACTATTTATTAATTAATTATTTGTTAATTAGATTTTTGGTGAGGAACACTTGGGATTGTAGAGCTTTCGTCAACAATGATCAAGGAATTATTTATATCACAAATTGTGAATTATTTGTGTTTTAAAGTTGTTACGCTTGACTCAGTAAATGGAATAATTTTTTTAATTTCTAATTTAAATCTCAGGTGCTCTTTTCTACCAGAAGTCTATGCTATTCTATTTTAATTAAATAAATGATTTCAATGTAACAATGTAAAATCGCGTGGGAAATTGCTAACAGTATATATAATTCAGAATCGATGCTGCCAAGCACATGTGGCCAAACGACTTGAACATCATTTACTCGAGAGTAAAGAACCTGAACACTCGGCATGGTTTCCCTCCAAATTCCAAGCCATACATATACCAAGAAGTGATCGATTATGGCGGCGAGGCAATTTCTAAACGCGAGTACAACCAACAGGCTGTGGTAATTGAGTTCAAATACGCCTCCGAACTCTCCAACTCGTTCCGGGGTAACAATCTTTTGAAATGGTTCGTCAACTTTGGAGAGCAATGGGGTCTTTTACCCTCTCAAGATGCCCTCGTGTTCGTCGATAATCACGACACGCAACGTGACAATCATCAAATACTCACTTACAAATCATCAAAACTGTACAAGGTAAGCCCTGCGTGAGAATTTTCTTTTATATTCCAAGAAGTACTTAATTTTTTAGCGTTTACATAAAAGTGTTTTCCTTAAAGTAATTTCGCGTTAAGGTAGGCAATATTTGGAACTTTGGAAATGATAATTATCGTTCATTTGGCTTGTAAAGCGTAGCACGAGTCGTGTGGTCACGAGGGCGTGAGTCTGCAAGTAGAATAGGTCGTTTAGTTGTCAGGCATTAGGAAGCAAATAGGAACGCTTTTCCTTCGGTGTTTCATGGGATAATCTGATTTTAATTTTGAGATACTTTTGAACGAATTACGTATGAATTACGAACACTGAATTACGTATTCCGAGAGTAATATAGAGTTCTAATATTTTATTAGATTATTTCTATGGGAACATTAAATTACGTATTCTAAGAGCAGTATAATAGAAATAAAATACCAGTATTTTTCTGAACTCTGCAAATTAGGGTGAAAAACAGAGTTCCATAAAATTACCGAATCGTGGCTAACAATTATCCAACGTTTTATTCTACGATCATTCGCCTGTTATATTTTGAACTAAACTACTTGCAGATGGCGGTCGCCTTCATGTTAGCCCACCCCTTCGGTACACCGCGAGTGATGAGTTCCTTCGACTTCCAAAGCAAGGATCAAGGACCACCTCATGATGGCAATGGCAATATCATATCTGCAACTATCAATCCAGACAACAGTTGCGGCAACGGTTGGATCTGTGAACACCGTTGGAGGCAAATTTACAACATGGTTCGCTTCCGCAATGCGGTTAAAGGAACGAGCATTAAGAACTGGTGGGACAATGGCAGCAATCAGATTGCATTCTGTCGTGGAAATTCTGGATTTGTTGCGTTTAACAATGACCGGAATGATTTGAGAGCCACCCTCAAGACCTGCTTGCCTCCTGGTCAATACTGTGACGTGATTTCTGGTAACTTGGAGAATAGAAGATGCACTGGAAAGGTTGTTAACGTGCAACAGAATGGCGATGCTTATATCGAAATCTCTAAAGGAGAGGAGGATGGAGTTCTTGCTATTCACGTTGGGGTGGGTTTGTTTTAGAGATGATCGAAAGAGTATAAATTGTCATAAAGTTAAGGATAATGATTATTAGATAATTGGAAATATTTTATTTTCAGGCTAAACTGTAAACGAGTATGAAGTCAATCACTATGAATGTCGAAAGACACGAACAAGGATGCAGAAATTTGCATTATATTAAGCGATGTCTCCTGTTTGTATTACATAGATTGATCTAACGTACAATTACACGCGGACGCATCTTGTAATCAAAGAAACATTGTACCTACCTTGTGAGAATAAATAAATGTTATTTAAAGTTCAAGCACTCTTTTATTTGCCACGTGTGACACATAAAAAATAATTTACTTATCAATTTTATAGTACGTCCGTTTCAAAGATAATGACGGACCTCTTTCCCATTATAATTATTGTTATTTCAATAATTCGAATTTATTATTACGAAAATTTACATAGCTCGTAATAATTGAATTCAAAAACTAAAACTCACGAAAAATGTACACGGTAAGCCCTACGTGAGAATTTGCTTTTATATTCTCCCAAAAGTAATCTATTCCAAGAAGTATTTAATTTTTGAATATTTACTTAAACGTGTATTTCGTTAAGTAATTTTGTAGTAAGGTAGACAGTATTTGAAGCTTTTAGTTACTTTTATTTGCAAAGTACAGTACGAAGCTCGGCGTGAGTCTGCAAGTAGAATAGGTCGTTTAGTTGTCAGACATTAGGATACAAATAGGGACACTTCTCCTTCGGTGTTTTATGGGAATGCTCCGATTTTAATTTTGAGATACTTTTGAATGAAAACATTGAATTACGTATTCCGAGAGTAATATAGAGATCTAATATTTTATTAAATTATTTCTATGGAAACATTGAGTTACGTATTCTAAGAATAGTAGAAATAAAATACCAGGAAAATTAGGATGAAAAACAAAAATTCCACAAAACTAATGAACATTGCTAACAATTATCAAACGTCTCACTCTACGATTCTTTGCCTCTTGTATTTTGAACAAAACCATTTGTAGCTGGCTGTCGCCGTCATGTTAGCCCACCCAATCGCGAGTGACGAGTTCCTTCGACTTCAAAGGCAAAGATCAAGGACCTCCTCTGGATGGCAATGACAATATCATATCCGCAACTATCAACCCAGACAATGGTTGGATCTGTGAACACCGCTGGAGACAAATTTACAATACGATTCGCTTCCGCAACGCAGTTAAAGGAACGAGCATTAACAATTGGTGAGATAATGGCAGAAACCATGGTTCACCAGATGTGCCACATAAAAAATAAATTTGATCATAAATTTGCTTCAAAGATAATGGGAGATTTCTTCCCAAATTCTCTGCCCTTCAAATTTTTGTATTTTTTCCCCATAAATTAAACTCCTATTTTTGTGAAATTTTTCACACAATATCGCATGATCTTCGCGCAATTTCGGGTCTGACGAAAACAACTTGACCAGGCATAGATATTTTTCAACAAGGTTTATTTTAACAGAAACAATGTACTGTTCTTGTTCTCTTTTCACCATTAATTTCTACTATACATAATATGACAGTTAATCAGTAAAATAATACACGACAGGCTCGCGATGGAGAAATAAAAAAGGGGATGTCGGAAGGAAGTTTTTCATGGGAGAATGGTAATGATTGGATGCGGAAATAAATTGCAGAAGGAAACGAAGGGTGAAAGAAGAAAAAAAAAATAGATGGAAAATAAAATCATCGAAGTATCACAAGATTGCCTTATCGCCCGCTTCTTCATCCCTCTTTTTCTCCAGCATGCTCGTCTCATTCTGTACATATATTCTCTCATTTATATTTTTTAAATAAGTCGATATGCATACGAATTTCCTCTCATACTTCTCCTTTCTGTATATCCTCTCCTTTCTATATCCACTTTCTTCTATCTCCAGCAAACACAAACACACGTATCTCGTAGCTCGCTACTCGTATGTCCGTTCGCACCCCAAAACGATCCTGTTGCCCGACAATTTAACGATCTCGTGCTAACGCGGTAATGATGTGCATGAACCTCTGCTACGAAACTAAATAAAATACTACGGGTTCTTCTTCTGTAAAAGCACGATATAAATAAATGCTTAAGCATTATGTACAATGATCTCGTTTTAAGTAAAAGCCGCTAGCTCGGTTAATGTCCGCTCGTGTCGTCCAACCTTCCGTTTATTCATTTTTCAAAATGTTTCGCAGATAGTCTGTTCAATATAATACAATTTTCGAGAAACTTTGTACTTGTCTAATAAGAACGAATGAAGGGAAACAATTAAGAATTGAAAATGAACTCTGAAAAGTGTAATATCTTTGGGTCGCAGGTAACCATAACAGTTTGAGTTTGATTCGGGACAGGTTGTTTAATTTTTATCTGTGTTCTATACCTCGTCCGATATATGCCATTAATTGTTTTACTAAATTGTTAACGTACTACTAACATGTAACGGTCAAAGTATGTAAAGGATCGCGGATTTACCGAAAGCTGGAAGTACGAGCAGATGTACTGTGCGCGAGAACGCGCGTATAAGTGTATGTATACATAATATTTATAAACGTATAATAGTCTGCAGTAAATTCAGGCTAATGTAAATCTAAAAATACTGCTCGTCTCACGACTTATCAACTCTTCCATTCTAACAATCGTCCTGGGCGACTCGCTCGTCTAAGAATATCTCTCTTTCTATTTACGACTAAATTGTTATTACATGAATACAATAAGGCAACGGGTTTACTGCTAAATAAATAAACGTTAAACGTTGTAAATAAGAGAGGGAGAAGATTAATTTACAATGTTTTCCCTAAATTATATTTACGGGTCCGTCCATCTCGTAAATCTATATCGATTTCCAACGTATCGGCTTCTAATTTGTATTCTCGTGTTTCTGTAATGTCGTGTCTATGCGTGTATGTATGCGTTTGTGTGCGTTACGTATACATATTCTTTATAGGTATATGAATGTTACCCGCTCGTGGATTTTCTCCGTGTGGTTTGCACGTAGAACGTTAGCAAAAATATAATTTAGTATATTTTATCATTTATAATTCATTCATATAAAAACTTTGTTAAAATATATAAAAGAAACAACGATTTGAGCAAATACGTATCATCCTATCGTACAGCTAGATATAAGTACCGTGTCGAAGAAACGTTCCCTTTCGTCGTTATTGCACATAAATTCTTCATCTTTCCTTTTTCTTTATTTCTTCGCTAATAAAGTGTTGTCTCTTTTTCATTTTTTCTTCTTAGCATACTTTCTCTCACGCTCGTCCTCTCGTTCGTACAACTGTTTCACTCATTCGTTTTTCACACGCTCTCACTAAACAACAAATTGTTCACTTAGTTCGTTCGATATATTATACCTACTGCGGTATGTACTTATTTAATATTACCTTTTTATTTCTTATCGTCGTTTACGATTTTAATTCTTCACACGACGATGAAGATTAGAATCGTCGTTCGACGCTTTACTATCTGTGTTTGTCGGACTCGGTGTTTCCGCGAAATTATTCGAGTTCATCTTGGATGACTATTATCGCTTCGAATGCTTCTAACTGCATTATTTAGAATATATTTACAATCTCTGTTATCCAATAGACATTTTCTAATGCTTTGCATTAATGAAATTGTACGTAGTATCGCAGAATTATTTTATTATTATTTTGTATCTTATCTTTAATATAGCATTTCATCCCTTGTACAGTATTCAAATTCAATCGAAAGATGTTACAAATATTACTAGGACATTTTATATTTCAGCGACAAGCAAATTAATGTATTTGCTTGATTTCTAATCTACAAATTTATCGTACAACAGAACTCGAATAATTTTTCTCGGTACAATGAATCTTTCTCGCTCGAAAGCTTCAATTTCAGGTAACAAAGAGCAGCATCGATGAGCATTACGAATTTCTAACTGACGTTAAAAATTGCCAATTGTCTCCATTGTTTCGTTCATCTAAGAAAGGCTAGCCTTGTGGAAGACTTTTTAAAGATAGAGGCACTCGTTTCGTTGATCTCGCAGAATGTACATTAATTCGCGCTTTAATCATTCTAAAACGTTAATTTCCATCGCTAAGTCGATATTCCGGAGATTTCGAGGCTATTAGTTCCGCGTGAAACCGATCTTGAAATCCTGACACGTTAATTGCTCACGAAGAATCGAACATGTTGCTTCCGGTTGGCCATTCTTTTTTTTTCTCCGACCGAAGGATGTAATTTGAATAAGCACGCAAACCAAGCGGTCTAATCGCTAATTACTATCCCAATTAATTTGATTATCACGCAGCGTCATCTCTTTTATGCTCATCGCGTGTCTATTTCTAATTTATAAGCGGCAGAACGCGAGAATGCTAACACTTGTTAGTCACCCTCCACTTCCTGCTCGTCGAAGAGAATCTGTTAGCATGACCAGCGGTACAAGTCTCTTAAGAACCGGACAAAGGAATTACAAATTAAAGAGAATCGCACCGTTGGAAGATTTCACGAATGAAACTCTGAATCGGGCTGCCCAGATTCTCTGGACAAGTATTCTTGTTTCAGGCACTGGCGATCATCCTAAAGGTTTACGATTTAATTAAAGGATACGGTAATCGTCGATTGAAAATTTCATTTTAAATTCGATGGTTTGCCGAGCTTTCGGATCAGCGTGCGGACAAGAAGTTTACTAGAAGATGTCTACTTATTACACTTCCTTTATGTTTCTTCCTTATAATAATCGTTGTATTCCAAAGTTATAAAAATTTGGATGTAGATAAAGCTTACGGTTTAACGATTTAAATATCTGAAGATGTAATGAAATTACATCAAAATCGCACGCTACATTCGTCGGAACAACGTTATATCAATAGGAACGAAAAAAGGAATTCATTTATACGTACGTAACAATGAGAATTCTGTCAAAAATGAAATCAAACATGAAATACCATCTTCATTCCAAAAAGTAAAAGAACAACAAATCCTCTACAAACTTCTTATCCACACTTCAAACTCTATATCGAATCAACGTAAAAAACTAAGTCTTCTGGCTACTCAACCTTCGCATTTCCAATCTTCGCTCTCTTTCTCGAAGAGTCACCTACTCCCACGCACGATTTCACCCGATTCCACGAGCCAGTCATCTATAAGTAAGTACAACGCAGCAAAGTGAAATTCCTCCGAGACGGAGCAATTTTTCTCCAGGTACTCTCTCTTTCTCTCTCTCTCTCTCTCTCTCTCTCTCTCTCTCTCTCATAATATACATATACATATGTATATATACGAAACTCTTTCTCGTTGTCGAACGTCCAAGGAAAAAGGAATATAACATGAAGGACAAGGCGGAGCCTCCGGAACTCCACAGCGTCCGCGGTCACGTGTACGCGCTGTCGCGTAGTCCGCGTCACTGTTTGATGGGCTTCTTGAAGACGACTTCCGGCTTGCGTATGGGACGTGATACGCGCCGTTCTATCCTGAGGGCCCTGTTCGGGTCCGTGGAGGGCGTGACCGTGCCCTCCGGGCCCAGAGGAGTCTCCGCCATTGTTTGTCAGTTTCCTGTGCTGCTCGGCCGCCTTCCAGGCAACTGTTGTTGCTGCGGTTGCTGCTGGTGTTGCTGTTGCGACGCGGCTGCCGC